GTATCGCTTCTGGAGGATATGGCTATCCCAACAACTGTCACTGGATCACATGCACCATGGCAACTATCAGTTGGAGAACGACATGGTGCAATTTTGGGTACAATGGTTTCTGCCATCACTGCAGAACATGCCACTGAGGGATTTACAGCTATGAAATTGGTTCTCTCCTCTGCGGTGGCGGCCAAAAATATGACAGTGACGAGAGATGGATTCACTCCCAATCAACGACTGTTTGGGGCTGAAGTGAAGTTTCCAAGTTTGACAGAGGAAAATGTCAAGCCGAGCTTTGCCGAAGCTCTGGACGCTGAATCAGAATATGCACGTGCTCACAAAATGCGCATCACGGCAAGACTTGCCTTGATCAGAATGGATGTTCAGGAGAAGATGCGCCGTGCAATTCTGAGGAAGCCAGCCCATGAAAATGAAGGCCCATTCGTGCCTGGAACGCAGATCTACTTTTGGACACCGAAGAGGCTTACAAAACGCTATGCTCGAGGTGGCCAATGGCGAGGCCCTGCAACAATCCTTGTCAGGGAGGCCAAGGAGAGGTATTTCGTCAGTTGGCGAGGCCGCGCCCTCCTTCTGGCTGCGCCAAACATCCGGTTGGCCACTCGTGAGGAGCTGGCTCTCAACGAACCAGCCAAAGAGGATGCCGACAGCTTGGGTGAGTTGCTGCGCGACCCCATGCGAGAGAAGGTCTACAAAGACCAGACCCGCTTAGCACCACCCAAGCGGGTGAAGAGGCGCCCTCCTACAGAGGAGAATCCAGAGAGGAAGAGAGCGAGGATGATGCTACGAGGCATAAAATCCATCAGGGAACTTCTGAAGGATCGGTTAGCTGATCTCAGGTCCCAAGTTCGAAAGAGAAGGATGCCCAAGCAAGTTGAGGATCAACCGGCTGCGCCGCAACCCAAGAAAAGAGCAAAAGCTCTGGAAGATGGCAGCGTCCACCCAGATGCGCCTTCCATCCCAGGTCCACCGGCTGCTTTGCCAGGCCCCGGTGATGGAAATGAATCGGATGGATATACAGCTACATCGCCCTACGATGAAGGCGAAGGTCCACCACAGCCACCAACCGATGAGGAATTGCCACACATCCCTTCGGATGATGAAGGCTTGGATGAACCTTCAAGGGTTGAGGCCGAGCCTCCAACTGAGGTGCCCCCACATGAGGTACCAGTACCACCTGATGATGAAGAAGAATGGTTGGAGGAATTCCGAAAACTTTCAGAAGAAGATCGACGCAAGATGGCTTTGGACGACGTCCCGCTCACTCTCAAGAGGAAGCAGGTACCAGTAGATCCTGCTCAGGCGGAAGCTGCCGTCAAGAAGTTGCGAGCTAACTTCTGTGCTCAAGTGGCTGCGACCATGGTCTATGGAAGCTTACAAAATGAATGGGTGTCCCGATACGAGGTGGAGATTCTCAAGCAGCTGACTGGTCTTCCGGTTACAGCTGCCAGGATTCATAGGACACCACGAAAGCGCTTCCAAAAACGCCCGAAGATGGTGAGTCGCTCAAGACTCTCAATTTTGATTGGAAAAGACCCTGCAAACACTTTCATCGTCAACGAGGACGAGGCTGACGTCAAGCAGAACCCACGCCGTCGTGCCAGCTTTCTTTGGAAAGGCATGACGATCTTCTACAAGACTGCCAAGGAGGATGAGAAGGAACCCATCTACATCCAGCTTCCAGATGGTCTATATCGGGCAGACATGACCGCGCAGGATGCCCAGGACTTTGAAGCTCTGTGGACGGAAGAAGTTCGAGATCTTCTCACCACCGAAGCACTGCTGCTGAAGATGAAGCAAGGTGGAAAGGAGTTGGACCCCTCCTACTTTGACAAGAAGGAGAAGGCAGCCTTTGATGCGGCTGACGTCAAAGAATGGTCTGAGTGGATCAAGAATGGAGTGATTGAAAGAGTCAGCCCAGCTGAAGCTGCAAGGATTCCAAAAGCCTCCATCTTTCGAGCCCCACTCAGGATGCTCAGGGTCAACAAACAGACCAACCAACTTTTGCCATTGGTGGCGAAATCACGACTTATTGTGCCAGGTCATTTGGACCCGCAGTTGGGAGAATTTCGAACTGACTCCCCAACGTGTCCTCAAGCAGCTGTACGTGCAGCCAAGAGCGTGGCAGCAGCCCGCGGCTGGGGTGGCACTATCTTCGATGTTACAACAGCTTTTCTCAGTGGAAAACATCTACAACGCCAAGTTTATATCCGAGCTCCACGAGAAGGTTTGCCCCCTGCCGAAGGATGGACGGCAGTTGAACCAGGTGAGCTCCTACGCATTCTCAAGAGTGCGTACGGATTGACGGAAAGCCCAAGGCTTTGGTACCTTGAGGCCCTCGACAGGATCAAGAAGACCGAACTACAGGAGTTGGAAATGTCGAGGTCAACCTTCGTGGCAGGAGGTGGAAACAGTGGCAGCGCCACCTATGCAATCCTGTGCCTCCATGTGGATGACGGATTACTTTTGGGAGATTTACAGGACAAGCGAGTCCAGAATCTCAAGAGGCAGATAGATGGAATGTTCAAGATCAAAGCTTGGAAGAACCTATCTGCCAAAGAACCCGTACAGTTTCTTGGAGTGGATGTAACTATGGACTCAAACGGCATCCACGACGACATGAAGCAGTACATCAACCAGATCAAGGTGGAGCTCTTACAAGGATCGGGACCACTGAACCCAAGAGAGCTGACGCTCTACCGCCAGCTTATCATGCGTCTGAGGTGGCCTGCTCAACAGGCGATGCCGCACATGCTCTACGAGGTATCTGCCCTGGCACAACGAGTGAGCCGCGCTCAGCACAGTGATTACAAAGAGGCCGTGAAGCTACACGGCAAATTCAAAGAGGAAGCTTCCCAGGGCCGCGCCCGGCTGACGTATCCGAAGATCGAGGAGAAAGAGAAGATGTTTTACATCAGCTTCTTCGACGCCTCGGTCGGGAAAGAAGAAGATGGAAAATCCCAGTTGGGATCGATCCACTTCCTCACCACGGAGAAGGCCCGCACAGGCCCAGCTTTGGCATCGGTGGTGGAATTTTCCACCAACAAGAGCTCAAGAGTCCTGAGGAGCTCTATGTCAGCTGAAAGCTGCAGTATGTCCATCTGCGTGGACCGCCATCTGTATGGCCGCCTGGTTCTAGACCGCTTGCTCTATGGCAACAGGCCTTTGGACGCAGATTGGCGAGTGACTATGGGCTTGGACGGCGGAGTGGTTACGGATGCAAAAAGCCTTTTCGATCATCTCAACACCACGGGCCAACTTCCGACTGAACGCCAAACGATGTTGGATTTGCTTGTGGCCCGACACCACTTGGAAGCCGGAGCGTACATGTTGTTTTGGGTTCCTACCCATCGTCAACACGCGGACGGCCTCACCAAGAAGATGGTCAACTTGCTTTGGCAGGCGTTTTGCAAGGTGCCAAAGATCTCACTGAAGGAGACTCCCGAGGAGAAATCTCTGGAAGATCATCGGCGCCGATTACGCCAAGGCCAGCGGCAGCGCCGCAAGCTGAAAATGAAGGGCCGCGCCCTACCACCGGCTGCGCCGGGCATTAATTCGAACACACCAACACGTTTCCCTTCCGATGTGAAGAAACACGGTAGGTAGAGGCATGCTTGGTGTGTTGTGTCATGCATTAGTTTTTGCCTTAGCGCTTTCACACCGCAGCTCGGACCGAGCAAAGCTTTGCGCAAAATAGCCCAATCGCTGCTTTTCGTTTTTGCTGCGTGAGCCCTACGCTGCCTGTGCTCTCCGCAGGGGTATGCCAAAACTATTTAAAGGCGAAATTTCTCAACTGTAAAAAGCAGCAACTTGCAAACACGGGCTTTGACACTAACACCCTGCAGCGGGAACCTGCAATCGCACCAGTGCCCAAGCTCCAAAAACACACAGTCACAGCACCCTGACAGCAGCACATTGCAGCGGGCCCCTTGCGACAACGCTGCAGCGGCACCAAGTTTCAATGCGCACACGGCACTCTTACAGCAGCGCCCCATGGCACCCTGCAGCGGCGCCCTGCGGCGGCACCAGCCACCAAATTTCAAAGCCTTGATGTTCAGATTGCCGGGGGTCTTGATCAAAAATGTGATGAATCAACACGTTGTGCCAAAAAATGCATTTGTGTTGCTCATTGATTGTTCCGGTTGTCCTTTCCACCGTTTATGACGGTTATTCTTATTTTGAGGCTGGTTAGCAGCGGGGCATGCAGGCAGGGGCCGTGCACCGAAAACTCGCAGGTTATACGTACTTAAATCAACGCGACCACGGGATTTCTAGGGACAGTGGCAGCACCTGAAGCACTATATGGGCAGATAAAAGAATAAAAACCGGTCGGTGTCCACCCGTCAAAAAAAAATGTGCCACAAGTGCGGCGGAAAAATATGCATTCACATCCGAATTTCAAATGTTGTGACCAACCTGTATTGAATTTTTCTTGTAATTTTTTCGGTTCCAAAACTTTTACCCCCCTAGTCGGTTTTACGAAATCCAAACGCCGAACATCAAATTTGGAAGGCCGAACGTGAGACACCAAAGAGGTGCAACTGCTATGAGCAACATGGAAAATAAGATCCCCTCGCCCGCCAAAAAAATAACTGGAGGACTCCACCAAAGAAACCCGTTCTTCAAGCAGAGGGACCACCAAACATATAGTGTGAATTGCCGTCATGAGATTCGCAACTCCATGGTTTTGCTGTTGGCTTTGCATGAAGGGTAATTATTGTTTGCTCTTGCCATGGCGCCTGTCCTTGCAGCCCCGCCACCTCGTCCGCCAATCAAGCTGCCCGTGGGCAATGTGGCCGTCCTTCCATCGCGTGAGGCTGGTCAGGTATTGTGCCTTTTTTAAGGGTGCGGTGAATTGGTTGAAATTGTAGGCCCATCATTCCATCAACACACTTCGTGCTTCCAAATTGTGAGGTTGGAAACAGTGCACACTCCCCATTTTCACACACGATTGCCGCGAAGGCCCCCACTCCAAAAGATCCTTTGCAGCTATGCCTTCCAACATACCGCGACACGTGTTTGGCGAGCTTGATTTCAAGCACCTTCATTTTCGCAGGTGCCCACAGTTGCAATTTGCATTCAAAGTTGTGGTGTGCTGACCTTGTTTTGGGATTTTGGGACTCGTGATATGTTTTCTGATGGTACGCACGTTGAGGCAAATGCAGCCTTGCAGTTTGAAAGGTTGATCGTTTGGATTTGGGAATGTTCAACGAAATCGTTGGACGTGGTTTGTGTCAATACGCGGCGTGGACACATGAGACCAATTTTATCTGTTGTGAAAAAGGAAAAGGTGCGGTTTGCACAGTTGCTTGTGAACACCGGAGTTCCAAAAAACAACTCCCAATTCCGGTGTGTTCTGGACCCATTACTCCAATACGCTTGGAACAAGATATGCACTCTCGATTCGTTTTTGTCCCGGAACCTTGGAATTTTGCAAACACGGCAATGGACAGTTTCCCTTTCATATCTTTCATAGTTGATTTTCCCATGGAACCTTCATTTATAGGAGGTTTTCATTTGCCATTTTTGTTTGCTGGAGGGTACCCGTTTTGGGCTAAACCTGTTTGAGCCACTGCAGGTTTGATGGCGTTGAGCATTTCAGAGGCCGGACTGCCAGGCACAGATTGGGATGCGAAGAACTGCAGGGTCTGTGTATGTGTGTGTGTGTGGTTTCTGTGTGTTACAGCTTCCATGCAAGGAATGGCATGACATTCTGTGGGCTCAGATTTCGCATTGTACAGTCCTTTTCACCGCATTTTTTTAAATCATCATCACATCCCGAAACCCAATGTTGTTTTGATGAATCGTGGTAGATGTAAGCTGCATGTCGATGTGCATTTTCCAACCGCAGGGCTGCCGAAAAATCGTTGGTTTGTGCTGTCCTTCCGGGCGCTGGCGTGGATGGCGTTCTACTTTCTGCCGTTGCATTGCGTTTCGTTCAGTAACTTGCGGGGCTATTGTGTCTATGGCAATGCACCTGGCAATTCGAGTTTGGTTTGCTGGAGGAGTTTTCTGGACGTGGTGGGTAGGCCGCATTTCTGGTTATTACCAAAGTTTCTACAAGGTTGTTTATTGCGAGTAGGGACGTCGGGTCATATCATTATTCCCTCTCGTAGCAGGCATTGTGGCCAGCTACCTTATTTTTCCATTGTGAGGTTCAAGATTCCCACTTGTTGGGAGTACTTGGTGGGGAAGCAGGATATTCCAAGCAGTTGGCACTCTGTGCGAGCCTGTGCCAGGACAGCATTGGGCCCTGGCGAAACCTTTGAAATGGCGGAACAAACAGGTTTTAGTCGTGGGCGCGTTTTTGTGGCCACGGTTCTTTTGCCTTCCCTTTATTTCTTGCTGTATGTGGCCTTTGTGAGTGTGCAACTTTGCCTGGTGCCGGGGAGAAACTTGTGAGTCAGCTAAGCGCTTTGAAAGTTATCAAGCAAACTGGTTGTAGCTGTTGTAGCTGGAACTGCTGTTGCAACCAAATCACTCGTCACATTAAGACTAGATTCAGTATGTGACCAAACACTTACCTGCGATGCTTTGGACCTATCGTGGCACTCACATATTTTTTGTAGGACAGCCTTGCCGTGAAATTCCAGTGATGTTGGCTGAAAATCTTTGCTAAAAGGGGAGTGAGAGCCCCAGGTCGCATAGGTCGCATAGGTCGAATAGGTCGCATAGGTCGCATAGGTCGCATAGGTCGCATAGGTCGCATAGGTCGCATAGGTCGCATAGGTCGCATAGGTCGCATAGGTCGCATAGTCGCATGGGTCATGCGCATGGGTCGCATGGTTCGCATGGTCGCATGGGTCGCATGGTCGCATAGGCATGGTCGCATAGGGGTCGCATAGGCGCATAGGTCGCATAGGTCGCTAGGTCGGATAGGTCGCATAGGTCCGCATAGGTTCGCATGGGTCGCATGGGTCGGCATGGGTCCATGGTCCGCATAGGTCCATGGGTCGCATGGGTCGCATCGGTCGCATAGGTCGCATAGGTCGCATAGGTCGCATAAGTTGGCATAGGTCGCATAGGTCCGCATAGTGGTCGCATAGGTCGCATAGGTCGAATAGGTCGCATAGGTCGCATAGGTCGCATAGGTCGCATAGGTCGCATAGGTCGCATAGGTCGCATAGGTCGCATAGGTCGCAAAATGCCGGGGAACTCAGTCTTGAAACGCCATGCCGAAAACCTGATCCCAACCCTCCCCAAGTGAAGACAGAATCCGAAATCCACCACTGCCCAAATTGAAGGTCTGAACAGCCATCCCAAAAGGTTTGAACGTTCTAAATACGGCATGAAAAACATAGACTGTCATGTTTGTTTCACCATTACTTACATTTCGGTACTATCTTTGTAAATGAGTTTGTGAGTTCGAAATTGGCTATAGTCTAGTGACTAGTGTTAGATTGTTTCTCCGACTTTCGCTTCAAATTTTGCTTTTCCAAGGTATGTGGGTGAAGAGCACGAACACCTTGGCTTCATTTTTATCTACGGCGTGGGGCATTTGGTCATCATCTTCGTGGCAGAAAACCTTGGGCCCCCGAATTACCCACCGCCCCTGAACCCTCGATACTCCCAAAAGATGGGGCCTGCAACTTTGGGTGTGGCGGTGGCACCTTGGCATAAAGAGATGTTTCAAGGGAAGTCAGCCCAAAAAATGTTTCATTCTGTATCATTGGTGAATGACAGTATTTTTCCGTGATCATTGGGGTGCAGAATCCCTGCAGAGACTGTGATGGGATCAGCATGTTTTTTCCCATGGCAAAAGCTACTCCGAGATGGGTTTCTTTGCAGTGACCACCGCCTACAGCGTAGCAAAGCGCTTTGTTGGTCCTTGGCTAGGCACAGCAGCGAGTATCCATCATGGGCGGACGTTCTCCCAAAGTTCGATTGAGGGTCTAGATACTTCAGGGTTGGTTTTGGGCTTAGGGGTTACTTAGAGTTGGTTTAGGGGTTCTTTAGGGTTGGTTTTGGGTTTCTTTAGGGTCGGTTTAGGGTTGGTTTAGGGTTTCTTTAGGTTTGGTTTATTTAGGTTCGTTTCGTGTTTTTTTGGTGCTATTTGGGGTTGTTTAGTGTTGTTTCATGCGATCATTCAAGGAGTTATTTATGTTTAATCTAGAGTTGGGGCATTTTTTCATTTCACGGCTTAGGGTTTTGGCAGGTTCCTTCACCCAAATTACGGAGAATGTGTTTACCGTAAGACATGGTTCAAAAATGTGTTTTTGGCAGCGCTCTGTGTAAGCGCAAAAACGCAACTAGATCGAACAAATATCACTATTTATCAACGTTTTGATGTATTTTGCACGTTCGCAGTTTGAAAAAATAATTGCATCAAAAAAACAGAGGTTGCAGTCCTGCATGGAATTCTGTCACTTTCGGGCAAACGTCAGTCCTCTAGCGGTATAGAAAATGATATGATACGGTATGATATACTGCAACATTGATAGCATAATATCAATATCTTTTGATATCATATTATGATTATGAGGTAGTCAAATGATATACAATACAATACTGTGTCCATACATTCACATGCATATTATAGATACATGCATAGACGCTCCCGGCACATGTACGCCATAGCCTATGCCCTATCCCATGTCACAGCAATGCAAGCGTCAGCTTTGTGGTTCTTGCGATAGGCACGTTGATGCCGGCGATGCTGGGTGCCTATGAAATTGGATGCCTCCTGATCCTCGAACGAACCTTTGTGCGAGAATTCGTTCAGGAGACTGGGAAATAGGCTATAGCGGCTAGAGGAGTTGGGAATCCATGACAGGAGGACCAGGGTTGCAGGGTGTGGCCAGGAGAAATCTGTCAGAAGAGCCTATCATCACTCCAACCAGGGCATTGTGGTCTCTGCTCAGATCTGCATGGTTCATGGTATGGCAGAAGGCCAGGACAGGCGACATGACAGATAGCCGATAGCCATGATGATGCTTGGAACAGTGAAAATGGTACTGCAATGATTTAATGTTGCATGGTAGCAGAATAAAGGCCATTGATAGGGGTCAGGTATTCATGCTTGAAACGTCATTGGCATTGGTACTTTCACGTATTTTCATGTTCGGTGAGGCAATCGTCCAGTTAGCTCACTTATTGTGTGTCGACCATACGCCTGTCTCCAACCGTCAGGTGCTCGATTGATGCTGATTTTGGCTGACATATCTCAATCAACTTCAGACTCTGACTCAACCTTCCTGGTGCCAATTGTGAGTGGCGTGGTTTGGAGACTCAATGGCAAGTTCGCCCGCTTTTGATGTTGCATTCAGCAGGACGGTTAATCACATATCAGGATGATGCAGGATGTGGGATGACCTGAGCAGGTTGGAAAAAGTGAGGCACCTCCACTTAGTATGGAGGTTTCCTGAAACAGAGGTACCCCATTTTAATCGGATTTTCCTTTATCAACTTATCATCCAACCATTTGGGGCCCATGGAAACCTCCAGTGGCCGCCTAGGAATGTGATCGTCCGCTGTGGCGCCGTTGATCGTTTGTTGGCCATCATCACCCGTGGAAGGCTGGGAATCCCCCCATTGTCCAATGTTTCTGATTTGCGATATCTATTAATGTTGACTAATGTTGACTAATTGAGATGTTAACTATTATTAAACCATAAAACATCTAATGGACAATGAGATATTAAGCATTTTTAAGCATTCATATTAGATATATAATGATTAGATATCCCCAACTTTCTGTTCATAGAAGTCGTGCTTTCTCCGCAGGCGGACCCCGACATGGTGTAGTCTCCTGCTGCAGCAGGCCAAGTTGCATGGGTTATCTCAGGCGCCGAGGGCGGAGCAGCGGGTGAACAACGCGATACGTTTGGAGTTTGGCCCTTTCGTGAATTGAGTAAACGAAATTGTCTATCTATATCTAATATCCAATATCCAATACCTATACCTATATCCTATAGCTCTATATATATATATATGTCGATGCCAGCTGTCGCATGCATGAGTGTTTTCATTTCTTCAGGTTGCAAGCACATGCAACTGTCATTTCACCTGTTGCTCTGGGCTCACAGGGCGCCCTTGGAGCGATAGCAAGGCTACAGGCAGTCTAACTGCTCTTGCGACATCGAGGAAAACAACTACGTGAGACCCAACTGCAACTTAGTGCGTGGAGCTTGGGAGATCTGGTTTGGGTAAGGGAACTTCTCTGTGGCCCCCTACTACCAGATCGATATTGGTAGCGGAGCCCAATCTGGGCTGCCGCAGGTACTTCGTCCTGAACTTGTTCATCACCCTTGCCTTTGACTTCGGTGGCAACGATGGTTGGTGGGCAAGCATCTGACGGTGCCAACAACCCTGGAGGAGCTGCAGTACCAGGTGGATCTGCTGGTGCTAATGGCCCTCAACATGGTGGAGCAATAGCAAATGGAGCTCAAGGTCAGAACGAGTTCAGCCGTGGTTTGGACTCAGGTTTGGCCAAAGCAGCACCATCTGCTGCTGGACTGACACAGTCCACATACAGGTCCTTCAGAAGGAGACTTGACCTGTTCAGCCGGCAATGTAGAAGACGAGGTCAAGGAGTAGCTCTTGAAGGAGCTTATCTAGTTCTCTCACAACTACAAGACGTAGCATGGGAAGCAACAGAGGGATTGGACTACGATGACATGGAGCTGAGTGAGGATCCCTTCAAACCCTTGCTGGTCGTCTTGGACAAACTTTTTCAACATGAAGAAGAAGTAGAACTCCCTGAGCGGTGCCAAGAGTTCTTTGAGAAGTTTGCCCGAGAACGAGGTGAAGAACTACAAGCCTACTTGGTGAGGCATCAATCGATGCTTCGAAAGTTGAAAGAGCTCCAGGTGGACATACCACCCCTTCTTGCTGGTTGGCATCTTTTGCAAAGGTCTGGAGTGCCGCGGTGGACCCATGTCCAGGTCAAAGCGATGTGCAACGGAGACATGTCAGTTGACCGAGTCTCCAAAGCTTTGATCCGAATGTTTGGCGGTGACAGCAAGCCGAACGCCAAGGACTCCATCCTCAAAGGTGAGATTCACTACATGGATGCTGAGTATGAAGACCTTGAGGACTATGGCTTTGACGATGTCTACTACCAGGATGATGACACCTACGCCTACGGCTATGACCCTGACTATGACGACACCATTGATGAGGTGGAGTACACGGGTGAAGCTGATGAGGATGTTCCGCAAGAACTGGATGAAGCCTCACTTGCAGTGGAGGATGCATTCATCAACTACTTGGACTCACGAAAGAAGATGCGAGAACTCGCTCTCAGCCGAGGTTTTTACCCTGTGGTTGCCATCGGCATGGATGACAATGGTGGTGCGTTCAAGGGGCGTGGAAAAGCCTCTGGTGGAAAGGGCAAGTCAAAAGGAAAAGGCCGTGGAAAGAGCAGCGGAGGAAAAGGCAAATCTGCTGGAAAAGGACACCCCTTGCCTGGTGCACGACGATACGTTTTTGGACGTCGGCGTGCAGGTGACTCTACAACGACTTCTTCGACGACGGCATCTGCAAAGTCCACAACCAGTGGAAGCACGTCTCAACATGGCCCAAGATTCAAGCGCTACAGGCTTCCAGCCAACGGCATCAAGGAAGTCCCTGATGAAGTCACCATGGTGGAGGACAACTTTGTCAGCGAGGTGAACCAGATCCCAGTGGATTACACCACCCATGAGAGCATCAACTTTGTCAGCCAAGCTGTTGGTTGGGCTATCATGGACAGTGGAGCTACTCGCACAGTTTGTGGTGAAGCCAACTGGAACAAGATCTTGGATTACCTCAGTTTGAGGAACATGGAGCCTGACATCGACAAGGAAACAAAGGATTTCAGGTTTGGAGATGGTGCCATGGTGAGATCGCTTTTCAGAGCGATGATCCCTGTCTGCGTTGGCAAGACCTGGCGACAACTCATTGTGCACGTCCTTCCAGGACACACACCTTTGCTTTTGGCACGCCCAGATCTTGAATCTTGGCAGACGGTGGTGGACTATGGAAGAAAAACTGTGATGATCGGTGACGTGCAGGTGAAGCCAGCGTTCACAACCAACGGGCACTACATGATCAACATCTTTGACGACCTTGAGGACGTCTTGAGCTTTGCAGAGCTGGACAACATCGACGTTTCTGTGGAGACCTTCGTGGACTCAATGATCACCGATGAGGTCTCTGACTTTGAGGCCGACCTTGACGTCGAGGTGTCAGAAAAAGAAGCGGAGGAGTTTGTCTTCGCTGCAAGCACGAAAAGCCAACAACACGAGCGCAAGCTCAAGTTTTGGGAAGTCTATGCGGATGAAGGAAACCTGAGCAAGTATCTGCAACGAGCATATCATGATGTGGAGGTCCGGCAGTTCTCACTGCCAACTTGGAACTTTGAGATGAAAGAGCAACAAGCCGCTTTTCGACGTCTTGTTGAGCAAGAAGAACCTCATCACATCATGGTGACTCCTGAATGTCGTCTCTGGTCACCAATGCAGAACTTGAACTACAGAACACCCGAGAGACGGGAACTGCTCAGAGATTTGAGGGTCTTAGAAGAAGAGACCCACTTGACCTTTTACAAGGACATCCACATCGACGGCAAGCGCCTGGTCTATGACACAACTTTTGAGAACCCTGCAGACGCAGCTTCATTCGAAACCCCAACTTTGGACTCCATGAAGGGCTACTTTGAAACAGTCCTGGATCGCTGCCGCACAAAGCTGAAGGCAAGTCCTGAGGACGAGATGTATGTGAGGAAGCCCACAAGGTTTCGATCAAGCTCAAGAAAGGTCTGCGAGGCTGTGAACTTGCGTTGTGAATGCCCTCGAGGAGCTCATGTCCAAATGATGGGACGCGGCTCTGTCCTCAAGAAGATGCAGAACTACGAGCCTGAACTTTGCCAACGTCTTGGCAATGCCATTTACTCTGCAATGGAGATGGCATGGAAGAAACGGGGACAAGCTGAATTGATGACCATGGAGGTCGTCGAGAAATCGACTGAAGAGATGCAGTACCTGGAACAGAACAAAGAGCTCATCAAGATCGGTGGCCATGAGATTCTGAAGTCGGTGGCCAATCTCCATCGACAACTTGGACATCCCAATGGAGCCAAGCTGGTTCTGGCGGTGAAAGCACGACACCTTCCCAATGAATTTGTCCAGGTGGCCCGGAGGTACAAGTGCCCGACCTGTTTGGCCAGGGCACAACCCAAGAATGTGCGTGTGGCGACTTTGCACAAATCCCCACACTTCAACCACTCCGTGGCCATCGACACCTTCTACGTGGAATGGGCCGGCAAACAGCGTGCGGTCTTCACCATCATGGATGAGTTCAGTCGCTATGAAGTTGACATGGAGATCAAAGAAGAGACGGCCGACATGGAGATAGCTCTCTTCGAGTCAACTTGGAGCCGATCTTTTGGTTTCCCAAAGGTCTTGCGACTGGATGCCTCTGGTCCTCATCAAGGGCAACAATTTGCCGATTGGGCTTCTGCCCATGGAATGTACATGGACCTGATCCCACGAGGTGCTCATCACAGGCTTGGAATCCTTGAACGGAATCATGCAGTCCGACGACGCATGCTGGAGATCTTCCACAAAGACATGCCCGAGCTGGACTTTGAACAAGCCATCTTGGTGACCTGCCATCAGAGAAACCGTTTGTCTTCGGTGAAAGGTGCTACGCCTGCCACTTTGGCATTTGGCTACGTTCCCTCCGAAGGAGGCAACGCTGATGACCCTGGACCCGAACAATTTGGGGACTCTGCCGACTTGGCGCAGGTCATGGAAGTCAAACAGAAGGCTGCACAGGCCTTCCACTCTGCCAACTTTGACTTGGCGGTTCGATCAGCCGCTTTGGCTCGATCACGAGTGGATGAGGACGAGCTCATGGTGGGAGACTATGTCTACTACTGGAAGCCACAAACCCACAAGCTCGACCCTTTCAGGTGGCGTGGACCCGCGATGGTGGTGTCTGTGGAAGCCTCAATTGACCGAAAGACCATGATCTACTGGATCGTCCATGGAAGCTCACTGGTGCGAGCAACACGACAACAGCTGCGCTTTGAGACTGTCCCTGAGCGCTACGAGCGTCAGAGCAAGCCTGCCTACCTTGAGAGCGTGCAGAAACCTTTGCAACAACGACTTTTGGAAGCTCTCAAGCCAGTGCGTGGTCCAGTGAGGGCCATTGACATTGCTGGAAAGGCTCAGTCTCCTGACGATTTTCCTCAGCTTGGGCGGACTGGAGCAGCCGCTGTCGCACCTGGTGATGCCCCTCCACATGAACCACATGAACCTCCTGACCCACCGAAAACTGATGACAAATCGAAATCGAAAACTGCAACTGCAGAACTTGACACTCCCGGCAAGCCTGCCGACAAGTCCAAAGCTCGGCCGGAGGCCAAGCTGCCTGAACCCCGAATCGACTTTTGGGTCGACTACCCCGATAGTGAGAAAACCGAATCTGAATCCAAGACCACTGACAAGACTCTCTTGGATGAGATGGTGGCCAACAAGGACAAGAACCTGGATGACCACACTCAAGGCATGACCGACATCCAGAAGGAGATGAAACGGAAGCTGGAAGCAGAACACCCGGGCATCATGGACTCCTCGCATGGGGTGATCGACAAGCAAGATGATGAACCACCTGTGGACCCTGATGATGTGAGCGTTCGAGCCCGTGACCGACGTTTCTATGAACAAGCAGTACGTGCTGCCAGTTTCCTCTCCCACGAGAACAACCGACGACTGGATGGACTGCCTCCTTCCGGACGACAACTGCCTGCAAGTGCTGCCGCACAAGCATCACGACCTGCTGCAAACTTGGTGCCTCCCCGAGCTGACGATGGGCAACCGAAAACCAAGCAACCTCGAACTGAGGAAGTGCGCATGGTGGAGGTCCCTGAGGACGAGGTCATGATGGCGGTCGTGGAGAGTCGGCTGTCTGCTGATGAGAAAAGAGCCTTCACAGAGGCCAAGCGCAAAGCTCTGGTCCCATGGCACGAGAACGATGCTTGGAGGCCTTTCAAGAGGACAGCCTGCCCTCCTGGAACCATCGTGCCGATGAGGTTCCTCTTGCGCTACAAAGAGAACAAACCACATGCTCGAGTCATTCTCCAAGGCTTCAAGCACAAGGATGTCATCGAAAGCAAGCTTGACACAGAGTCACCCACGGTGTCAAGGCTTGGCAAGTACCTGATGGTGACACTGTCCTGTGTCAAAAGATGGAAGCTCGCCACCATGGATGTGAAGTCTGCGTTTTTGCAGTCGGACTACATCACCGAGGAGGTGGAGATCTATGGTGAGCCCTCAGCTGACATGAGACGCTTGTTGGCTGAAATGATGGGACTTCAAGAACATCAGGTGATGCAGATGACGAAGCCTGCCTTTGGAGATGTCAGAGCACCCAGACACTGGAACGAAACGGCCGATCGTGCGTTGATCCACGAGGTCAAGCTGTGGAAGCACGAGCTCGATGGCTGCATCTACATGTCAGTCAGACTGGCAGTGGATGACCCTCCTTTTGAGGTGTTCGAGCATGAGGGCAGCAACTATGTGGTGGACGGTGTCTTCTGCATCCATGTGGATGACATCTTGACTGCAGGAGAGGGCGTGCGCTGCAAAGAAGACGCACGGGAGCCCCATGGTGAGCCGACTTGCTATGCAGAGAGACTGCATGTCCTCTTGCATCGCTTCAAGTTTGGCAGTGTTGACTATGGCGACAAGCAAACGTTTTGTGGATGTCAAATGACGCAAGCCCTGGACTCTGCCACAGTCACCTTTGACCTGCAGAAGTACATCCACCAGCTCAAGCCCCTCAACATCGAGAAAGCCAGAAAAGCGCAACCCAACGACAAGGCCACTCCGAAAGAGCAGAGCCAGTTGAGAGGCTTGCTAGGTGCTAGCCTGGCCTGCCAACCAAACGCAACCACACCTGGCAGCGTCTGTGTCCCTGGCTCAGGCCGCTTCTGCCAGCGCAACTGTTTCTGAGTTGCTGGAAGCGAACAAAACGTTGAGGTATGCCAAAGAAAGCTCAGACGTGCACTTGGTCCTCAGAGGTCACGGACGGCTGGAAGAGATCCGGTTTGGGATCTACAGTGACGCGTCCTGGTGCACAAGACCAGACGGGAGTTCCCAAGGTGGCTGGATCACCTTCGTCGCGACTGAGGCGGAGATCGGTGGCGACAAGCCTTTTCTCCTCACCGTGATCGACTGGTCTTCACGGAAGCTGACCCGAGTGTGCCGAAGCTCGCTCAGTGCCGAAGCTCAAACCTTGGCAGCTGCAATCGACAGCCTGGAGTGGACCAAAACGGTGTTTGCCCTGATGATCTGGCCAGCTCTTCGACCAGACAATGAGGAGATGATGCGCTGGTTGGGCGATTCACCCTGCATCACTGATGCAAGAGCTCTCTTTGATGCCAGCAACAGCAAGGCCCCTGGGATGAAACTTGCTGAGAAAAGAACTGCAATCGAAATCAAGATGGCATGCGAACGCATGACTGCGGCTGGAGGAGTGCTCAAGTGGTGCAACAGTCATCAGCAGTTGGCTGATGGGGTCACAAAGGTGTCTGCACGGCAAAAGCTTGCAATGGAGCTTCGACGCCGCATGCACTGTCTGAGATATGATCCTGAGGGAACAGCTTCAAAGAAGGTCAAGCAGAACGTTCGCCAGGACGAACAAGATTCACTTGATCAAGCTGCTCAGGAGTTCCAAAAACAACAAATGGTGAAGGATGGCATCTACAAGATCGAAGAGATGGAGTCAGAAGAAAAGATGGAGTGCAACATCTGCCTCTTGGACGGCTGTGGTTTGCCTGCTGAAGATGGCAAGCGTTTCTGCTCGAAGCGCCACTACCACGCCGCAAAGCACAAGCAGAGCCAAGCAAGCTCAAACAAGAGCGCTGAAGTGATCTGGTGCATGACTCTTGCAAATGAGATTGTGCCCGTGGCCGCTCTTGAGTATGGGTTTGTGATCTTCCTCAGCTTTGACAAGATCATCGGGTTTTTCTTTTTCCTGGCATTTGCCTTGGTGTTTGCGTATACCCTGGGCAAGAGTGCTGGACGCCGAGAAGTCCATGGTCTCATGGCTACGACTGAGCCAACGGAGACTGCTGAGGGAGAAACACAGGCACCGCCGACGCCGCGAACCAGAGCGGTGACTGACTGCCAACGCTTCACGGCAGCTGAGATCTCTTTCCTGCTGGGCGAAGGCTACGAGGTTTGGTCCGATGACAAGGTGGAGCAGATCCGGCGAGACTTCATCGCTGAGTTGCCTCCGTCCATTGAGGACTACTTGCCCCAGTCCGAGATCGACAAGCTGATGGCCGGTGAAGAGACCACAGCTCAGGTACCAACGACACCTGAGGAATGGAATGGCATCAGCCGCCAGCAGAGAGAGGAATTGATCCGAATCTTGGACGACAGTCTTCTCTTGGGCGTCCCCTGTGGTGCCATGTGCCCAGAGCTGCGAGATGAAGCACGTGCCCTGCGAGCTCAACTGGCGACCGTACGGGTCGTGGAAGGTGAACTACAACCTCTGAGGGTGGTAATGAGTTCAGTGCCAGACTTGCCTGTTGGAACAATTTTGGGTTCCAGCTCTGGCCGTAGCAACGGATAGCTGTGCAGGTACAGATGACACTTTTGGGCCTCTTTTCACACCTTGGGAATTTTTCTCTTTTGGGCCTGTGTCGATGCCAGCTGTCGCATGCATGAGTGTTTTCATTCTTCAGGTTGCAAGCACATGCAACTGTCATTTCACCTGTTGCTCTGGGCTCACAGGGCGCCCTTGGAGCGATAGCAAGGCTACAGGCAGTCTAACTGCTCTTGCGACATCGAGGAAAACAACTACGTGAGACCCAACTGCAACTTAGTGCGTGGAGCTTGGGAGATCTGGTTTGGGTAAGGGAACTTCTCTGTGGCCCCCTACTACCAGATCGATAATATATATATATATATTATACCTATAGCCTATATCTATGTCTATATCTATATCTATATCTCGCGACACAGATATGATATACATGCATGTATATACTTAGTAACATCCAAGAAAATCAACGTTTGCAATACCTTCCAAACAGGTTCCATATACGTTCCAAGCATCTTCGAGTGTGCTTCATTGCGAAAGGTTCATGGCCATGGGTGCCGTGGTCTTGGCCCGATGGTGCTCCCGAAACCCATTGATCCCGGAGGGGAGGGAGAGCATGGCCCTGGCAGTGTTGATCCTCTTTCTTTGTGACCCTTGAATTCCCCTGGGTCGGATGTTGGGATGTTTGGATGGAGAGAATTACCGTTGAAAAACGGAAGACCCCCATGGACTGGACATGATTCTTAGATTTGGTCCCGTGAACTTGGAAGTTTTTGCCGTCTTTGTTGGCTTGACAATACTTTTACCCTGGCTACTTTGATCAATTTGAACCTGTTGGGCTGTTTGGGCAGCTGAGAATCTGTGCGTCTCAGGAAGTTGGTGAGGATCTGGTGAGTTATTCGCTGGAGCGCTTGAACTTTCGGTCGCTTGACGGCTTTGAGACGTTGGGTGGGTACTATACCAATCTACCGCCGGGAAGCACTTTTTTCTTCCAAGTCTGCCATGGCAATCTAACCAGCAACAATGCCAAAACTTACCAACAAAATCCTGGTTGGCGGTTTGTTGTGCATGTTTCGTTGTGCATCCCTGGTAGGGTGCTCCCGAAACAGCGCCACATCACCGAAGCTGAATTGGAGATGATGGCGGCAGCGCATCTCCGGGTTAGTTCGATCTGTGAACCCGAGAGGGCCGTCTCCATGGTTCCCAATTCGACGCCTGCGTGGTCGTCGAGCCTTGATCATCTTGGATCCTTTGGGGATTTTTGGGGGCTGTGACCTGTAACTGCTGAGTCTTGGAGAGATCAATAAACATTCCACCTGGCCCGTGAAATTTGGACGTCCTTTCGTTTCGTTGGCCACTCATTTTTTGTTGGGTCCAGAGCAATACAAGGCCACCATTACCACGCCTAGCTGTGCCCAGAGCTAAGGAGCGATTCCACAAAGGAACTTCGGGATCAGTGTTGGAAATTACGCGCCAGCTTTGCATTCGCATATGGTGAGCAAAACTTTGAGACGCTTCCGTTTTGGGCCCATTTTGCAGCAGTGCAGGGCCTAGTCCAAGCCGTGAGAATCCTGGGAACCAGCTTCAACTTCCAGACTGCGGTCAGCCCATTTTAAACTATGCCTAATATTTCCATAAATGAGTGATCAACATCATCCCAACTGGTTGCGATATTCGTTTTTGGGTTACCACCAAAAAAGTTTGCAACCAATGCCATGTAGGTGATGGCGACACAGTTCCACACGGTGCTTTTTATGATCTTGCTCGGCAATGGCCTGAACTATGTCCTGGGCTTCTGCCACGATACCTACGACGGCTATGGCCGGTCCTTGCTGTGGTGGCCGCTGACCCAGGAGAATTTGTGCATGTGAGAGCTGGGGCTCAGGGACCTACGATCCCACTATCACTAGCCTTTGATTAGAGGCCTTGGCGGTTACACTTTGTGCTCTCCACGGCTGCACGGAGGGGTTTAGCAGGTGCGGGTTGTGCTGTTGAGCCTATAAAGGTTACAATTTTCACGCAGGTTTGGCTTTGATATGCTTTGATTCAGGTAGACTGTGGAAATCCTGCATCTAGAGATCCGCCCTTGCCTAGAATTTTTAGAACAAAGATCTGATGGCTTGAGGAAGCACCAGATGGGAGGTATTCCTTGTTCTTGACTTGATTTTTGCCTTCATTCATCCACGGCCACTCTGTGGACCTGAAAATCACTCGTGGGAAGCTTAAAGCATTCTGCTCGCGAGTGTGTAGATCTTAGATGGTTCCTGTCCCAGAAAGACTGGCGAAGGTCCGGCATCCTAAAAGGCGAACTCAGCTGGGTCTCGCAGCCGGGCCACATCCAGAGGGAACCTGAATCATGAGGTAAGCCCAACAATAGACTATTCTTAATTGGCCTTTATTCTTGGGTAGACCTCTTTTTAATATGGGATGGTGAAAAGGAGCTTTAATGGTAATGGGGATGGTTTATGGCATTGGGTTTTGCCACATTCTCCTCTTCAAATCCGATTAGCTTTCCCTGGACCTCAGCGGTGCGGCGCGGCGCGGTGCTACGGTGATGCCATGCTTCGCCATCGGCAGGGACCGGAACGGGGTTTGTGGCATCCCATGGCCCTGGAAGTGGTGGAGCCATGACGAGCCCCACCTGGTGCAGCAAAGATCTGGCCGATGGGTGCTGGCAGCCATAGGAGATGGGATGTTTCATACAGATGTGGTTCAGCATGATGCTTAATGATGCTAAATGCTGATGTGGTGATAGGAGATGAAAGATGATGAAAGTACCATTTGGCAAATTTGTTGTTCTTAAAATGCCGGATGAAAGACCTTTGAGCCAGATTTGGTAGTGCTCAGTGGGTTTTTGGTTGCCAGATCATGCCAGGAGGTAGTCCGAGAGAGGGCGGATACACCTTCAAAAAGTTGGATGAAAGCTCTGGATTGCTGCTTGATGGTGGCGAGGAGGTGGGTAGATAGATCACTCTGGATCTTACAGTTTTGGGATGTTTTTTTGGCATTGTGAAAAACCCACATCGACAGCATCAGACATGGCGGAAACCGCGTTTCCGGAGGTGGCCCGAGTGATCTGCAAAAGCCTGAGCCACGAAGAGCTGAAATGGACCCGAAGCGCCAAAGGTCATGACCTCACTGGGGTGACCATCACCAAGTCCGAAGTCATGCAGGACATGAAAAAAAAACAAGGCTCCAGGTAGATTAGCTATAATAAGCTATAATTATCATTAACTATCATTAACCATAGTTGTTTTTTCCGATATACTATCATTGACTATCTATGTTTTTTTTTCCCTCTCTCCTCTTGTATCCAAGACAATTCGGATGAGCTTTCGACTGGGCACGACTTGGGATAGTGCAATTCTATCCATTCCGGATGGTTCACACATATTAACAACTTATGCAGATCTGTTTGACACTGAATCAACCAACCTATTTGACATAAGCAAATAGCAAGTGAAGAACTTTGCCCTTTTCCTGATTCATTACAGAAAACATGTAACTGAAGATTATCTCCTAAAATCCAGAGGGCTTTATCACTGCCCTGCTAAACTTTAATCGTTTGATTTCTATGTTGTTTTATTACTTCATTTTCGGCTTCATATTCACAGACAGTCTCACAATGCCTCCGCTACTTGATTGATGCCCTGCAAGAGCGCTGAAAAGCTTTTACATAGATTTTACCACTTCACACGGTGTTTTTTTGCTGAATTCTGCGCTCAGTCTGACTTTCCTGCGCTTCGGAACAAATTCATTCCAGGATGGATGTCGCTATGATTGAATTTCATACTTGACAAACGTATCCGTATATACACATATTTACACATACATACATACACAACACAACATGACATAACATAACATAATAACATAACGTTAAATCACATTACATTACATTACATTACATTCATACATGCATACATTGCATACATTGCATACATTGCATACACTGGATACAATGTATGCATTGCAAAAATGGAATACATACAATACATACAATACATACAATACATACAATACAATGCAATCCAATACAAATACAATTACAAATGCAAATACGATACAATACAATACAATACAAATAGAGAAATAGATAAATAGATAGATTAGATAGAAAGATAGGATAGGATAGGATAGGATAGGATAGGAAGATAGATAGATAGATAGATAGATAGACAGATAGACAGACAGACAGACAGATAGATAGATAGATAGATCGATTACTTAGATAAGATAGCTAAGATAGACAAGATAGATAAGATAGATAAGATAGATAAGATAGATAAGATAGATAAGATAGATAAGATAGATAAGATATATAAGATAGATAAGATAGATAAGACCGATAAAATAGATAAGATAGATAAGATAGATAAGATAGATAAGGTAGATAAGATAGATAAGATAGATAAGATAGATAAGATAGATAAGATAGATACGATAAATAAGATAAATAAGATAAATAAGATAGATAAGATAGATAAGCTAGATAAGACAGATAAGACAGATAAGACAGATAAGACAGATAAGATAGATAAGGTAGATAAGATAGATAAGGTAGATAAGATAGATAAGATAGATAAGATAGATAAGATAGATAAGGTAGATAAGATAGATAAGATAGATAAGCTAGATAAGCTAGATAAGCTAGATAAGCTAGATAAGCTAGATAAGCTAGATTAGATAGATTAGATAGATTAGATAGATTAGATGGATTAGATAGATTAGATAGATTAGATAGATAAGATAGATAAGATAGATAAGATAGATAAGATAGATTAGATAGATTAGATAGATTAGATAGATTAGATAGATTAGATAGATTAGATAAATTAGATAGATTAGATAGATTAGATAGATTAGATAGATTAGATAGATTAGATAGATTAGATAGATTAGATAGATTAGATAGATTAGATAGATTAGATAGATTAGATAGATTAGATAGATTAGATAGATTAGATTAGATAGATTAGATAGATTAGATAGATTAGATAGATTAGATAGATTAGATAGATTAGATAGATTAGATTTAGATTAGATAGATTAGATTTAGATAGATTAGATAGATTAGATAGATTAGATAGATTAGATAGATTAGAGATTAGATAGATTAGATAGATTAGATAGATAAGATAGATAAGATAGATAAGATAGGTAAGATAGATAAGATAGATAAGATAGATAAGATAGATAAGATAGATAAGATAGATAAGATAGATAAGATAGATAGAGATAGATAGAGATAGATAAGATAGATAAGATAGATAAGATAGATAAGATATAAGATAAGATAGATAAGATAGATAAGATAGATAAGATAGATAAGATAGATAAGATAGATAAGATAGATAAGATAGATAGATAGATAAGATAGATAAGATAGATAAGATAGATAAGATAGATAAGATAGATAAGATAGATAAGATAGATAGATAGATAGATAGATAAGATAGATAAGATAGATAAGATAGATAAGATAGATAAGATAGATAAGATAGATAAGATAGATAAGATAGATAAGATAGATAAGATAGATAAGATAGACAGATAAGATAGATAAGATAGATAAGATAGATAAGATAGATAAGATAGATAAGATAGATAAGATAGATAAGATAGATAAGATAGATAAGATAGATAAGATAGATAAGATAGATAAGATAGATAAGATAGATAAGATAGATAAGATAGATAGATAAGATAGATAAGATAGATAAGATAGATAAGATAGATAAGATAGATAAGATAGATAAGATAGATAAGATAAATAAGATAGATAAGATAGATAAGATAGATAAGCTAGATAAGCTAGATAAGACAGATAAGACAGATAAGACAGATAAGACAGATAAGACAGATAAGATAGATAAGATAGATAAGATAGATAAGATAGATAAGATAGATAAGATAGATAAAATAGATAAGATAGATAAGATGGATAAGATATATGCACGTATATACATCCCCCTTGTCCACATATACTTTTTACGGGATGTAAGGAAACAAAGCGGCTCACCAGGAGATGCAGAAAGCCTCCAACGAGGGCGCATACTTCGTGCTCCCATCACAGCTGAATGGGGTGGATGCGCCGAGTCCCGAGCGGGTGCTCAAGAGCCTGGAGGAGTGCAAGTGACCTGGAGCAAAAAAAATGTACACCGGTGCAAAAAATGGAGGATCAAAAAGCAACCATAAAAATGGTCCAAAAACATACAAACACCATAAATGGGTGGTATAGACCCATCCCCTAAATCAAAGTTTTTGTTTAAGGTTTATGAGATTGGGTTTCCCATATTAACAACATTGAAAAACTAGGGATTGAAATGGATTCAAAACAACCAGAGGTGGGGATGGAATCAATAGAAATTGTTTAAATTGTCTTTTTTGTTAAAAGCTTGGGCATCAAGAAAAACAAATGGATATGAGCGAATCAATTTTGGGATGACTTGTCACTGGTAGTTTTTGTAGCACACTGTTCCAGTTTTTGGGACCTGAAGCTAAGGATGCAGAGATACAACCGCACCGGTGGCCCTTTTCAAATGAAGTATCTAAGTATGTGACTTGAACCTAGTTGAACAACTGAACGGTGGCCCTTTTCAAATGAAGTATCTAAGTATGTGACTTGAACCTAGTTGAACAACTGAAATACCAACAAATCACTAACACCACTCTGAGAATCAACTCATATCATCAAAAAAGCGAACCGATCATGGCGAGGGTCTACGAAGCATGATCTATTGCTTCAAACTTTAAGCACCAATAGCTGCTGATTTACTGTAAATCTACCCTTTGGTAATCAGACATGGCAATGGACAGTTCCCCATTTAGAAAGATCAATGCCCCATTCAAACTCCATAAGCATAGAGGATCTGATGACACCAGAGGCTACCTATCAGGATCGTTTCGAACCCACGGGACGACCTACCTGGCACTTTGAGGTCTGATGCCACGTTGTTTGAAAGGCGTGGCATCAGAGGGCACTTGGCCCTACACCCAGCAGTGAGTCAGTTTCTGCTGGACAATGCGCGCGGAACTTCGCGCGGCTCCGGACTGAATAGCGTAGGGAAGGCGCTGCGCACTTTGGATATAGGGAGGATTAATGATATAGGGATATCTCAGGGGGATATTAACATACCCTACTGATGTAAGTGACATATATCATGAGGGTGATTTGGGAGTCTCTTGACAACTTGAACTTGGGGACCACAAAACCTCTCTCATGGTTTTGGTGGGTCCTAGTGCAGAGAAACACCTGAAAGTGCGGTAGATCTATTGTATAAGACTGGGTCTTAACATCTTGCCAATGGGAGTACATCATGACAGGCGGTATCCTAGGGATATACCTCAATCCTTGTGTGGGAGGAATTTGGGGGATATACCTCAAAGAATCTTGAGGCTCAGGGCATCCGGAAATACGCATTGTTGGGAGATTTACCATGTCATGTTGGATAGCCTGAGGGCGATCTGCTAAAAATTCATCAAACTTAGTAGAAAGTCTATCACAATGCCCCGCTTTGATGTTCTCATAGAAGTTTGCAAATGTGCACTTCTTTGCCAAAGCCATTTTTTTCTTGCTTATATCTCGTTTACATCCTCGTCTTTATTGGCAACGTACCATTTTTAGTTTGATCCAGTTTCTGTTGGTGAAATCCACATTTTCTTGGTGGAATATCGGTCTTGGTTGCTTTAATTCCGTTTTTTCCTTGGTGAGATCAAGATCCGGTGTGTTATGTTCTGTGGCCATGGCGGCCAAATGATCGTTTTTTGAGGACCCATTGGTTGCAGATCTGGGTCCCTGACAGGTGTTGGAGTCAATCAACTCGGACCGACTGGAGTTTCAGTGTCTGGGATGCGATTGGGAAAGCCTCAAAGCATGCAGAAAAGCTAGGTGAATTGCAGCTCGCCAAGACATGACGATTAGTAGGGAGCCCCGCAAATTGAACTTTTTTCAGGCTGGTGAATTGCTTGAATTTATAACTCAACCAGACCAAGAGGGCAGCACATGCGGATTTCACCGACAGACATATGGATTTTTTATCATGACCATCGAAAAAAGTAGATCATGACCACTTCACCCCGTTCTTTCAAATATTTCACGGGCCATTCTGTGTTTGACTCCCATGTTTGACCTACACCCATTTTTGGAAGCCTCATGAACGACCTGTCCATCCTGTAGTCAGCTCCCAAAAATCCATGAGTTTCACAGCTCCCAAAATATTGAGCAGCCGAGGAATGGCTACCTGCGCGTGCGCCCTGAGAGCGAGGAATCCTTGCGTGTGCTGGTGGCAAATCTGCACAAGACGCAGCCGCTGATTCTGGAGGAGAAATGCTGGGGAGGATTCTTTTTGGGGTGCAATTCCACTTCACAAGTGGGTTTATAGCCATAGTTATAGGGGTTACATCCCAACTCATGTGGGTTATAATCATGGTTATACGCATCTATAACCCGAATTTCACCCCCAAGAAAGTTTATTGGTCATGCCAGCTGACTGTGTTTATTCTAGATCTCATTCGCTGCTGGGTTTCCAATGCATGCGATGCACCACTTTCAGATCTCTCCTGGGGTCGTTTGCATGCCAAAGCACTAGCGGATACGCTGAGCAACTGAAGTCACATCGGGGCATTTTCGGTAAACATGCAAGCAGGTGGGAAACACGCTCTTCACAACACAACTTTATGGACGCAGAGGGTATCCATTCAACCATGGAGCATGTCTAAGAGTTGAACTGCCCCCCCACTGAGGCAGACCATGAGAGGATTTCTGTTCCTACAGTGGTCCGAAATCCTAAAATGGGACCCATTTTTGGTTGACTCATTTTTGCTCCTTAAAGTGTTTTTGAAAAACCATCCGTGCCGCCGCCATAGGATGTGCCAGTGGTGGGTTTGCAGCACAGCAAGCTCTTTACTTCGTCCTTCCATTTGGTACACGTGGCCTTTGCATCTGCCTGTCCTTTGGATCAAAGACATCGGAGCGACAACTTCCACGAGGCGTTGAAAATGACTTTGAAAGTTTAGTTTGTTGAGTTTTTGTCCATGGAGGGGATCTTTCATGCCCAGCTAAGATACGTTTGTTTATATGCGGTTTGTATCTAAGATTAGTCAATATGATTTGACCTGCACCTGGACTGATTCGAATCCTATGGTTGGATTTATCATAAGCTGCCCAGAAGCAAATCACTGAACAAGCCATTGAATATCATTGGAGCATATTGGAACTATGTTTTTTCTTTCTGAACCTGGCTCGACTTTTACCATGCTCAATCCCAGTTGGTGATCAATTGGCGCTTCGCCAAAATGTTGGTACAAAAAACTGGGAGTTTTCACCTGGGATCTAAAATTTATGAAGATGTCCACATGGGCACACTGCTCCTGATGATCTCCCCATCATTGGCCAAAAAGCTCGGGAGAGGGATCAAAAAAAAACAAAATCCAGAAAACATGAGAAAACACAAGGAAACTATCACGAAATGAAGGCAAAACCCATGGATCAAAAAAAAAAACAAAATCAGGAAAGGAAAGAAAGAAAGAAAGAAAGAAAAGAAAGAAAGAAAGAAAAGAAAGAAAGAAAGAAAGAAGTAACCTTCTCTTGAAAAATGAAAGGAAAACTTCCTTCTCTTGACCCCCCCACCCGCTTTTATTTTTTAGCCGGCTCCCCTTGCTACCTACTATTCTTTTTTTTTTCACAAGCATCATCGTTGTTTATTTGGATTCATTTAATCTTGATTGATATCCATCGCGACTTGTGCCTATGTACTTCTTTCTTGGTACGCATTGCGGGGGGAGGCGCTGCGCCCTCCCCCCTGCACCCCCACCCGCTTTTTTTTTAATCGGTTCCCCTTGCTACCTACTATTCTTTTTGTTTTTCATAAGCATCACCGGTTATTTGGGTTCATTTTATCTTGATTGATATCCATCGAGATTTGCGCCTATGTACTTCTTTCTTGGTACGCATTGCGGGGGGAGGCGCTGCGCCCTCCCCCCTGCACCCCCCCACCCGCTTTTATTTCTTAATTGACTTCCCTTGCTACCTACTCTCTTTCATTTTTTCATAGGCATCGTTTCTTTGGGTTCATCTTCTCTTTCTTAATCTTTATTTATATCCATCGAGACTTGAGCCTGTGTGCTTCTTTCTTGGTACGCATTGCGGGGGAAGGCGCTGCGCCCTCCCCCCTGCACCCCCCCACCCGCTTTTATTTTTTAATCGACTTCCCTTGCTACCTACTCTCTTTCGTTTTTATTCATATGTATTCCCAGTTGTTTTTTTTTTTATCCTCCCTTTCCGCAGTTTCTGGACGATTTTCACTACGATCGTCCTTATTTGTTTTTTTTGATCCTTATTTGTTTTTTTTTTGATCCCTCGATTTTGTTTTTTTTTTGATCCTTATTTGTTTTTTTTTGATCCCTTAGCCCCCAAAAAGCTCTCCCTCGCCAACATATCGATTAATGTACATGATATTCATATAATATACCTGGTAGCCTGTGCACATTTTTCCCGACACAAAACTGCCACCTCATGAGGCAAAAATCCAAAAAATCCATCTGTTTTTCTCTGCTCCCCAGGAGCTTTCCCGGAGCATCTTGTCCGTGCAGTACCTGGGTGCTCTGCGGAGGGCTGCAGAGAAGGCGGCTGAAAACGCCAGGCAGAAGGTCTTCTTGGTGCCCCCAGGTGGGGTGGAAATTGGGACAGTTTCCCACAGTTTCCCAAGAAAAATGGAGGTGGGACCATGAAAAATGGTGTGATTTTGATGGATTTTGAAGATCAACATGGTGAACTATGTCCTTTTTTTGCTACTGAACTGATTTTTGAAGTCCAAATTTTGATTCTTAAGGGGCAATGGTGAAGAGGGGCACCCCAATGTCAGTGATGTCGGAACACTTTTTTTTTGGTGAAACTTCATTTTCCTTCGTCGCCCGGTTCAGCCAGCTTCAGCTTTTCGACCAGCCAGGTGACCCTGGGGAAAAGTATTTTTACAGCCGCATCTCTGAAAGCATGTCGCGAGCTGTTGCACTTCTGGGGCCGGAAGATTTCAGGAAATTGGAGGTCCGATGAAAAGCCTGGGTAAAGCCAGAATGGTTGGGTGGTCGAGTTTCAGCCTTTTTGATGGAGGGACCGTTGACTTCTTTAGACTTGGATTAAATAGTTTGCGTCTGCGTGTATATTTTGTATATCATGGTTCTTTGGGACTCTTCTTTGTAGCCCTTTTCTGGTTTATGCATGAGCAGTGGGAGCTGCTGGTGGGTTGGAGAGTGGTTTGTTTGAGCCAGAGTGAGTGTGGCTGCAGCAACAAACACGGAGGGAGCTGTTTGGGATAATTGAAAGGCGACAAGATCCGGAAGAAAAGATCTTATAAAGTAGGGGTCAAAGAATTGGATTCCCTCCAAGAATTGCGCAGCAGAAAGAATTTTTATAGACCTTTTCCCTCCCTACTACCTCAGACGACTGTGATTTAATGACCACATGCCATCAGCTGCGAGGTGCATATCTTACTGGAGGAGTCGGATTTCGACGAATTCTGTAGCGAGCTGATGTTTTATGGAGTGAACCTCTGCAGCTGACACAGCGCTGCAAAAAGACTCGTTCCCTGCACAGTGGTGCTGCTTGGTAGACCCCAAATATACTGAGCCAGTTCGACCACCGATCGAGAAGGGACTGCCAGCCCATTTGAGGGTCTGCAAGCTTATCAAGCTTGAGATGCCAGGATCTTCAGGAACTGAAGCATCTTCCATCCCGCTAAGGACGTAGATAAATCTTCATGCCATGCTATTTTGGCTCAAGGCATCCTGTGGGCGCACCCAAACGGGCACGCGTGGCCGGGCAACGACTGCCATGGAGAAAGCCAAAGCCAGTGGAAAGGCCTGGGCTGAGCCTCATCATGATCCCATCCCATCCATATTTAAGACATTTTAAGGCCTCTTGGCCAAATGGAGATGTGATTCCATACTTTCCACATCCTTCCACCATGGATCTCTGCTTCTTTTACACATAGTTAGATGAGTTAGATGTATTTCCAGCTGCTGGTTGAGGAGGGCAGAAGGAAGCTCTTCAGTCCAGCAGGGCCCATCACCGCCAGGCTGCTCATTTGATGGGCGTTGAGATGTTACCATGGCAGTTGGCAACCTTCAAAATTGAAGAATCTTACTAAAAGTAATGGCAAAAAAAATATGTTTTTGTTTTCCCAATCTTTTTGGGGTACGAAATGTCCCGATGAAAGTGAATCTGGATTTGGCTGAGATGTGGTACCTAGAATCAAATTTGTCACTGTGCCAGGCACAGCAAGAAGCAGGAGTGGCTGATTCCTCAAAGTCAATCTGCCCTGGGCTCAGACATTTTTGAGTCTGAGCTGGACCAATTGACATGTCTAATCATGTCTACCTCTTCTTTTACAGTATACAATATGTATTATTCATAGATACATAGATGCATAGTATATTTACATTTGCATAATAAACACATACACATACTGAAAATTACTGAAAGATATTGATTGACTTGGGAAGAATGGCCCAGCTGGTCACCGGCAGTGTAGCTTTTTGTGACCTTTTTGTGACCTTTTTGTGACAGGTCTGGAACAAGAGCGGGCCTCCAACAAAAGAAGCACGTGGGATCCTGAGGACTGCCCTTGGCGAATGGATGCGAACAGGAGAATAGCGAATGTTTGATTTTTTTCTCCATCATTTTGGCATAGATATGAGATGATATGAGGGAGACCAACTAAAATGGGGATGGACTTCCTCCAGCATAGGGGCATAGACCGTAGTAGTCGCGGTTGTGTCCTCGCATGTGGTGAAGTGCCATGCGCTTTTGACAGTCCTAGGTGTACTGAAGACTGACTATGCGCAGCCCCTGGTGAACTTGCATCTTGGCTTGTCAGAGGAAAACATCCAAGCTAGAGAAGAAAACACCTGTTCACCCTAACACCTGCAATTTCTTTACAGACATATCCTTCGCATAAGAAGCACCCTTCCGCACATCCGACATGAGGAAATTCCACATGGACCCCGGCAAGGTTTGTATCTCCGGTAATGTGTGAATCTATAGCTATATCTAAATATCTATATATCTCTGTCCGTATATCTATATATCGCTATAAATACATATCCCAAGATTTTTTTGGGGTAGTCCAGGTAGTCCAGGCCTCAGTTTTCTGGTGAAAGGAGGGGGCAATTTTCAGCTGCAGGGATGATCCTGCTGAACATGCTCGTGCTGCTTGCGTCAACCTGCGCAGGGAGCGATGGGGGAAGGGGCGCAGGGGCAGGGGCATCGCAGGATGACTCCGGATGAAACTCCCCTGTTTGAATCTTGGGATTGGTGGCTGTTCTGTACCTTTTGGATCCTTTTGGGGGGATAAAGGGACAAACCTCCCAATTTCACCACTGTGAAGCTTCGCAGCTTGGCTCAGGGATCTGACAGGTCCAGGTGGGCAAAGAACGCCTTCCTGGACTGAGCGGGCAGCATATGGGGTGAATTTAACTCGTTTGTACCCCATGATCCTCATTCAGCTTCACTTGTCGGACATCTCACAATATGATATGTGGGTGTCAGTTCGTTTGTGCACAGGCACGTTCCTTTTGTGCTTGTTGAAGGCTTATCAAACAGTTGAGGAACATGTCCAGCAGGTAAAGAAGCCGACTTCAGTGACAGTCCCCTTTTGGATACTGACGATTGGGGCGCAGTTAACTCGAGAAATGTCGGTGGCTATGCTCCGATTGTTAGTGATACAGCCTGCCATTGAACGCATTCCCAACTTTTTGTATACCAACCCTTATCGTTTGGGTCAAGTTAGATTTCAGTCTTCTTCGTTCGTCAGATTCAGTTTTTGGTTGGTCCTGCCACATCACATTTGTAGAATGTATCTCCGCATCTTGATACTTGACACACCCAACAATATCGAACCTAATGATCACATGTTGTTGCTTAGATTCAGATAGGTTTCAACATTTTGCCGTTATTTTCCAGATCTACAGGATAGTCGGATAGATCCATGATCTATGTTCATCCAGGATAGATCTCCAATTTTTTGACCTTCAGAATTCCCTCCTAGCCGCCCTCGTGCCATGGAGATCGTTGGTTTGACAAATCTGAACGCTAAGGAGCTCATGTCATGTCAAGGCTTTGGGGCTACCCAATTTTGAGTCGTACCCGATGTCATGAACAAAAAATGTAAATATGCTTGCGGTGGTTTCAAAGATGGTGGCTTGCTGGCCAAGAAATGGGAATTTCAGCAGCCAACATAGGTGTGCAAGGAACGAGCGGTCTGGTGGTTTCAAAGAATCTTGTCTAATTATTTGGGATGGTCGGCTGACACCAACATATTTCACAAACCCTTGAGGAGCTCGGGATTGAAGATGGTGAAACTTTGCTTAGCTGCCACCAGTGCTGCCTTTGCTGCTTGGTATGATGGCGGTGGTATGGGGCGGAATGGCTTGCCGGCTGGTGGCCGACCAACTGCAGCAAGTGAGACACGTCCAGGCGACCGAATTGGCCTATGCCGTCCAGGATGACCTGCACGACATCCAGCGGATTTGGCAAAAAAAAGGAGGCCTTCGCTGTTCTGCGGGGATGGAAAGATCCTGACTTGGGCCTGGTGGAGGTGATAGCACTGCAGGATCAATTGCACGATGTCAGGGAGATTTATTCTTGCCATTGCGGCTTTGCAGCTGTGTCGGAGTCCCGTTCGGTGGTGACTTGGGGGGTGGCCGATTGCAGTGAGGTGCGCGATCAGTTGCACGGGGTGCGCGACATTTCTGGCACCTATAGCGCCTTCGCCGCCATTTTGGATGGAGGAACTGTGGTGACTTGGGGAGATGCTCGGTGTGGCGGGGACAGCAGTGGCGTCCAGGATCAATTGCGTGGAGTGCGTCTTGTGCAAGCCTCCCTGGGTGCTTTTGCTGCTCTGTTGGAAGATGGTTCGGTGGTCACTTGGGCGGATGCTGAGCATGGTGCGGATAGCAGCCAAGTGCAACACCAACTGAAACTGGGCGGTGTTTTTTTCACATTTTTTCCCGCCACTTGCGATGAGCCCCAAATGGCTTAAATATTGCCCAAAAGACTAACCAGATTGATGATCTATTTGGCCATGTTTCGAAGTTCTTGACCCCCAAGATCGCTTGAGTCTCAGGTACTGAAGACATGAAAAACATTTGCCCAACCACATCTGCCAGGAAAGATGTTCAACTGCTCCGATCCACCAGTGCCGCTCTCGCCGCGGTAGTGGCTGGCGGCGCCGTGGTGACGTGGGGTGATCGGCAGGGCGGCGACAGCAGCAAAGTACTAAGTACCTGGGATGCTGGAAAGGAGTTGGTGGTTACCCCTCAAAAACTGACATGAACCACTCAAGAAATGGGCTTTTGGAAGAAGATTTTCATACATGTACTCTCTGGTTTTGGAGGTGAAAAAATCCGGTAGGATGTAGGAATGCACATGGGATATGATCTAATGGGACAAGATGCCTACCCGACAAACAAGATGTGGATAGAGAGAGAGAGAGAGATAGATAGAGAGAGAGAGAGAGACGGACAGACAGACAGACAGACCGACCGACGGACGGACGGACGGACCAACAGACAGGCAGGCAGGCAAGCAGGCAGACAGAGCGTCCCTTTTCCCACTGCGCCTTCAGGTACAGGAGCAGCTTCAGAATGTGGTGGAGATCCAGGGTGCTGACAGCGCTTTCGCCTGTATCCGCGAGGATGGGAGCGTGGTGACATGGGGTCATGCAGCTGCTGGTGGTGATTGCAGCAGAGTTAGGTGTGGGGTGCATGGGATGAAGATGTGGTTGGACTCGGTGACAACCAAAGTAGCCAAAGATGGCTGGGAAATCCTGGAAGTTCGAATTTTTCGGGGAAAGTGATCTACTGTCCACAAAGATCAAGCATAGAAATGGGGTTGCAGGTTGCATTCTAAGCTGGGTTTTTCAGCTTTCTACCGTGACCTGCCCAGGGATCAACTCCAAAACGTGACGACCTTGGGCACCAAGGGAGCTTTTGCTGCCATCTTGTCCGATGGAAACTTGGTCACCTGGGGTCACAAAGACTATGGGGCTGACAGCAAGTTCGCCCAGCAGCTGCAACTGCTGTGACTTTGCGGGACTTTCAGCACTGTCAGAATGTGGCTTTGTCTGAAACCAGGGTACTGGCAACCTATCTGACCTATCTTAATATATTTTCATTGAGAAAATGATGAGAAAATGATGACCTACCATGCTTCTAGACAAAGCCACGTGGCCCAATGGGACCACCCTTGGTTTCCTTGGCGAATGGCGATTTGATGCGTCACCGAGATCCAAGGTTTCCAGCGACTGTTCAGCCAGAGTGGGCTTGCAAGACTTTTTAGAGCACCCCATTCCATCCAATAGTTCATCATCACTTTCCCCATCACCATTTTCAATTTGGCGCAAGAACCAACCATTTTCGGACATCATATCATATCATATCAAGTGGATCAATCACTAACCATAAATCCACAGTAAATTCCATACATCCCATAATAGCCATAGTAATCCTTACCAACCACTATAGATCCCATTAAAATCCCCCAACAGATTCCCCCAAATCAACATCAATCACCATCAATCACGTTGATCAGATATGCTGAACCACGGATGTCGGTTGAAATCGGTGAACGGCGTAGCGGGTGAACCAATCCTCGGGTCAGTCGAGTCGGCAGGACTTGAACTTGCTTCTCCAGAAGAAGGGCAGCACTGGAGCTGGCCTCATCCTGCGCAAGGAGGCCGAAGTCCTGAAGAATTTTTTATCCGAGTGCTTGGGAGAACTATATCCCAAATGATTGATACAGGGGGGATTCATTTTCTATTTCATGATTTATTTCATGATTAAAACCATGATTAAAGCCGTTTTAATCCCTTGAATGATGGGGATAACCACAACAAGTATCCCAAAAGATGTCCTTTTCCCACTGGTTGATCCGTTGTTGATCCATCACCTGCTGGGATGTGGCAGGTCACACCGGCCGTTGCCGAGAGATCTCAAGATCTGTGGGAGTGCCTCGGTTTTGACCACCAGCAGTGATCATGAAATATTCATTTTTGATGGACTGCTGGTGGATCATGGATTTCTACATTTTTGATGGACCACCAGGATTTTGACCTCGGTTTTGATGGATGGATGGATGACAAAAAAACATAGAACTACTACAATGTCACGAAATCCTGAAGTAATGCCCCAAAGCCCTAGCTGTTACCCCATCCCAATGGTTGGGAAACAAAGCTGGCCGCCTAGGGCCTTGGAATTCACCTCCTTAACCAAGGACGAGGTGCGAAATCGATCTGAATCCACCATTGAGGTCTGACAGTATCAGCAAAACATGGGAGTTTCTGTATGAGTGATGATGGTCATTTGATGTTGTTGTTCAAAATTCTTGATTGGCTCAAGGTTTTGTGGTAATCTCGCCTTGTGACCTCCCATTGGTCGATGGCGATCCTCTCAATGCTGTGGTTTCGCGTTTGCCTTTGTTGTGTGGGGTGGCCGTCCTTTGGTTTGCCGATAGTTTCGGCTGCGACTTGCTTACAGGATGGCATCCCGCCAGACCAGAGGCAGAATATCACCATTGATGGGGTGTCCATGCCGTTGGGTATTGCCGCTGGAAGTTGGGACTCATCGACGGTGGTGTCTGATATCTATCAAATCTTGGTGTCCGAGGTGCTGGGATACCATGCTCGAACCCAGGAAGTGAGCAGCAGCTTGTATGCACTGCTGGCGGTGTCTGGGTGTTCGGGGCAAGACTTGGCTTTGTGTACTTCGCCTCGAACGGCGCATATTACACTTGAAGCCTGGCAAACTCTCGTTCAAGATCCAGGTTGGATAGCTTTCTCTCAGCTACTGGGTGAGGCCAGCGCGTCCGTCCTTGCACCTATCGGCTATGAGGGCTATGATGGCTTGCACGTACTTGGAAGAGCCAACAGAAAGAGTCAAGAGGCAGTAGGTCTGCATTTGACGTTCTATGGCAACTACAACTCTTCCTGGTTCCACCCCGAGAACTATGCAGCCAAGATCTCAGACGTGGATCTCAACAAGTTGCAGAATTGCACCTCTATAGATGAAGGATACCCGACTGCTGCTCGATTATACCTAGAGGCCACAGGTGACGTTGATGGCGTTGAAGACAGAAACGGGCAGACAGGATACAAATGTTGGTTGGATCAAAAGTGGTGGCTGGCTCCTGCTTGCCGTGCAGATCCAGCAAATTGCATATCAATCCTGACTGCAGGTAAAGCCTGGGGTTTTGCAGGCATCTCACAGAAAGCCAACTTTTTCAACATGAATGTTGGAATAGCAGTGGCTTCTTCCGTGGGGAACTGGGTGGCCATCAACACCGAGCTTCAGTCCCTGCTCTATGCCTGGTCCCCCGATTCCACCTTTGTGGCATACCAGCAACTTGCAGTCCAGTTCCCGGAGCGCAATGATGCAGAGGTTTTGCAGGGCATCTATCGGAGCATGCTTGCGAGACAACCTCTGTTCAAGTGTGTTGCACCAGGTTTGGAAGTGGCGGCCAGTCGAGCTCTTGGTTTGGCAGAGAACTTCATTTTCGGCTCCAAGGACATCGAGGCGTTGCTGATTCAGTTGGTGAGTGCAGATACCAAGGATTCATGGCAGACAGCTTGTGAGTGGGTGAAATCCAACAATGAAACCTGGGAGGTCTGGGTGCCAGACAAGACCACCTGTGCCGTTGGGAAAGGCCTGGTGGATTTGCAGGACAACTTTGTGACATCAAAGTCTGAAGCAGTGGATTGCAAGATGTGCAGCCCAGGAAGGGTTTCGGTGAAGTTTGAGAATACCCGAGTGTGCTCTCCTTGTGCATCGGGTTCCTTCCAAAACGCTTTCGGAGCTTCAGACTGCAAATTGTGTGAAGCTGGCACCATTGCAGCAAATTCGGGGTCAAGAGAGTGTGACAAGTGCAGCCTGGGGCTGTATGCCAATGACACCGGCATGAGCTTTTGCTACCAGTGTGGTGTGGAAATTGGTGATGAAGCAGAACTGTGGACCACCAACGAATTTGTTGCTGGTAAAATTATCGAGTTGCAGGGAGCAAAATCCATTTCCAAATGCTTCTGCAAGGAGGGATGGTTTTTGTGGCAAGGACGGTGCCAGCAGTGTGGGGATGGCCTTGACTGCCCGGGCATGAATCGCCTCACGCTCAAACGGGGATATTTCTCAAAGTCCCATGCGCCCAGTGACGTCTTTCGCTGCTTTCATGAAGACTATTGTCCTGGTGGTCCTGGCGGTACTTGTGCTGCAGGCCGCGACAACCAGAGCATTGCTTGCAACGATTGCCAGGATGGGATGCGAGATTCGGGTGATGGTACTTGTGAAGATTGCGGCGGTGGTGACTATGCATTTTTCATCACCGTTTGTCTCAGTATCCCTTTTGCGTTAACCTGTTTGTACATCGGGCTCAAGAAGGAGACTCAAGGACAGTCCAGTTCCAGCTCCCTGATGATGGTGTGCAGCCTTCAACTGCTCCTGGTCACTGTCCAGATGCTTTCAGTGATGCGGCGCTTTGACATCAATTGGAGGGAACCCTTTGCCAGCGTCTTGGTGTACCTGGAATTCTTGAGTTTCGATCTAGAGATGCTGAGTGTGAGTTGTGTGACGAGCATGAGTCCTGTGGCGATTTTCGGAGTGAGGAGTCTTGTGATCCCTGTGATGATGTTCGCCATTCTGGTGGTGCATCTGTGCTTCCTTTTATGCACGCGCTCGAAGACCTTCCAAAGCAACAATTTGTGGAGAACCATGGGGACGACCTTCTTAGTCTTCTTCATCATCCTATTCTCCATGCTGCTGGCGCCCTTCCAATGCTATGGCCATCCCAATGGGACCTCCACCCTAAAACGCTATGCAACCGTATATTGTGATGGAGAGGGCCAACACCTTGAGATGTTCATCATTGGAGGCTTCTTGGATTTGCTTATTCAATTTTAAACATGTTCCCAATTACATCCAATTGCTTCATCCATTTTGGGAATCACTTGGAAATATGTCGCTTAGTGCTGCTTATTTTCAAGTTTTTGTGGGCAGGTTTTGCGTGCTTGATGCCCGTGCTGTTCTTGGCTATTTGTACATGGGTGGTGTTGGTGCAGCTTCCCGCCCGCTTGGCCAGGTGAGTCTCCTGGGTTTTGGTTTATGGTAAGATTTGGGATTTCACCCTACCTGATGGTGATCATGGGCTGGGATCCGGGTTGTCGCGAGGTCAGACGCAAGATTTTTGGAGAGCTGCTCCTTCCTGATCCGACGTTTCCGACCTGGTGCTGAGATTGCTTCAGTGCTTTTCCTCGTGAGAAATGCTTTGGTGGTGCTGTGCCCCTTAGCCACTTCCACACCCGGCCAGCTGGCGATGATGAACCTGACTTTTTATGTGCCTGGCTGTTGATTAGCATGGCATAGATTTTCAGGCATTTTCTTTGTAGAATGGGACACGCCAAATCATGGATATAGGGTATATGTATATCTCTTTGATTATGTGCCTGTGTGTATACATTTCACATCGTTCATACATGTGCACCCTTTCTTTCTTTCTTTCTTTCTTTCTTTCTCTCTCGCTCTCTCTTATACAGTGTAGAGATTCCGACTGTCCGATATTACTTACAGCAAGTAACTCGAGAGGGAAAGGGAAGCTCTTCTAGACAACAGGGTCGGGTACCTCTGCGATCCCTGACGGGACGTGGTTGAAGGATCATATACTAACCTTTGGACTCAAAATGAGCGCCCCCTGGATACCAAGGGGCGCTGTTTTTTTTTTTGTTCCAGAACCCATATTCAAAGTATTCTTGAATATTTTTGAACAAGAAGCAGGGAGGGCACGGCCGTCATGGCCGTGCCAGGTGAACTTCTTTGGCGTCGCCTTTTTCAAACCATGGCGAGTCATGGCGTGCAATCTGCTGGACTGCATGCTGCTGTTTGGGATGATGGTGATACTTGACGTGGGCTCCGTCTCAGTGGCGAACGACAGCCCAATCGCCAGCATGGTCATGGTCATGGTCTTTGTGGTCATCATGCTGTTGTCAATCCTGCTGACCTTGCTGAATGGTGGCTATCAATATTTTCAGCAGAAATATCGGAAGCAGTTTCGCTTCTTCACGTGCCATCAGAAGAACGCAGCTGGGTCCATGGCAAGGTTCCTGGGCAAAGGGCAAAATGTTGGGGCATCAACATCTAACATGTTGAGCGGATACTGTAAGGACAAAATTATAATTCATGATGATTCATTGCAGGGTTTGGAAAACTCCCAAGCAGATTGTTCATCAAGCCATCGGGAGTTCCAAGGTTCCTGAAGATGGAATTGGAACTACGCAACCCTGGCACCAAGACCTTTATCGACTGTGATGATCTTACAGATCTCACAAGGCTCTTCAGCTATGTTGGACAGGACTCAAGAGGGTGAAAATGTGCAGCTTCCCAATACACTGAAGATTGTGAACTATTCGAGTCGCTTCGTGACGAGAACCGCCCGCACCCAGGGAATAGGACAGAGAGGAAAGACGCGGGCCTCCTTGGCCCAACCAAAAGCCGACTGCCGTCAAACTTGGCCGTCCTTGGCCTTAAGTTGGTCCGATCAGGAGCCCACTTGAGCCCAGCCGAACTCGGGCCACTTGGCTCCAACTTGGGCCCAACTGGGGTGCAACACGGCGCAACTTGGCACGTTTGGATGCAAGTTGGGCTTAGCATACGCAACTTGGTCCTGTGTGGGGGCCTCTGGTGCCAAAGTTGGGCCCAAGACAGGCCCAATGTGGGCAACATGGCGTTGCACGAACCCCTTATCAAAGCCAAAAAACGTAAAAACGTTGGAAATAGCGGTAAGCGTGCAAGTTTTCAGGGCGTCGCGTTGAATCCGCAAAATTGTCCCAACTTGGCCCCTCGTGACCCCAAGTTGCGCTGTCTTGGGCCCAGCTGAAGCCTAAGTTGGTGCCAAATGCTGGGCCGAAATTGGGTTTAAAGCTATGCAGATGGATTCCAAATTGAAGCCATGGAGGACCAACAGTTCTAACATGCCCCAGCTTGGCACCTTTGGCGACAGCTTCACACCAAGTTGGGCCCAATGGAGACGCAACATGGGGAACATTGCTTCGAACGAAGCGTCGTCGATAGCAAAAAACGTCGCAAATACCAGCGAAAACGGGCGGTTTGAGGATTTCGGATTGGGCCGGCTATGCCCCCATTTTTTGAAGCCATATGGACTTCACTTTGGGACTTGGGGCCAAGTTGCGCCTTCTTAGAGCCAAGTTGGAAGTCAATTGGTCCAAGTTGGGCCGAGAGTTGGGGCCTTGCTGGCCGAGGTTGGGCCAATGTTGCGGCCATGTCGGATCGAAACGGTGCATGTGGACGATTTTGGGCCGATCTGCAAAATGTGCAAATTACCAGTCCGGTGCACTTTTTGGCGTCCTGCTCTGTCGAAAATGCCCCCCCCCCCAGCTGAAGCTACCAGTCTGACAGATCTGTCCGTTCGTATCCCTTGCTGCTAAGCTACCACGCCTCGGCACCTTCGGTGCGGGTGGATTTTTTTGGCGGGCACTTTTTCAAGAAACCATTCTTTGTAAAGACTTCTCTGTGTAAAGGCTTCCGTGTATAAAAACTTTTGTGTCTAAAAGCCGCTCTGTGTAAAGACTTCTCTGCGTAAAAGCCCCAGTTCTGAGCAAGTGTGTGGAACATCTGAATAGATGTAAAACCTCTACCTACCTTGTTGTACTATCAATACATGCAGGGGGGCAATCTCATGTTTGCAGCTGATTGCCCAACGAAGAGGGCCGCAATCGTGACTGAAATGACTCCTTGGGACGCTGGGGTCACGTACCTGCAATTTCATCCTCATTTTGTCGAAGTTTCTTTATTTACTGGATATGGCGACCGGCTAAGCCAAGAACCGGAGAGCTGATTTCACTTCGAGTTTCACGAGTGTGCCACAACCTGGTAATTATTCACTTCGAGGTTTGCACGTTTGCCGCAACCTGATATTTATTTACTCATTGGTTTATATATTCTTCATTGGAGACTATTTGAACACGTTTCTCGTGGGGGTCTTGATTTTCGGAACTACATCCTGTTGGTTGCATTCTACCTCCTGGAGATCTACCTTACTTCATCAATTGCACGTTTTTGGGATTCAGTTCCCGACGGATCACTACAATGATCCAGTTCTTGTCTAGTGTGATTTCCATGGTGTCTCCGACACGGTGCCATGGACACGTGTGAGGGAACCCTCTTTAGGGAGAATGCCGACAAACTGAACTGACTTCCAAATTCACACATTTTCATCTGGTAATTCGTTTAAGTATAGTGAAACAGTTGGCCGTGCTGTTGTTCGCCATTTTGTCCTGCCGCTCCTGCAGCTGATGTGTTGCCCTGGAATCTTCCATCCTGATCAAGCGTCGCTGTTCTGAACAGCCAGAAACTATTTTTTCAGCAGATTCTCGCATTGCAACATGACATTGGGTACTGGGGGCAAGAGGCATGTCCTTTTTTCCTGCAGGTATGGTATTTTTTGGTCTTTGGTGAGGTTGAACATATTGTGCACCTAATTCACGCGAACTTGAACAGCCGTTTAATGCCCATTTATGGGTTTGACCGACTACCGTCCCTTCGAGGGAGTAACGCACGACTTTCTTTCTAGGAACTGAGTCCCATCAGAATTTGAAATTTCTATTATCTTCGTACATCACCTTGGATTTTAGAGCTGACGCTCATCGTCGGCTCCGCCGGATTACTTGACCTCGATGTCATTGCAGGGTGGGCTTGAAAGCTATTGAATGAGGACCTGCTGCTTCAGAAATATATTCCTTATGCTTTTTTGAACAAGTTCATGGAATCATGGAACTGCGTTTTTTTCTTGGAGCAAGTGGGGAAGGCGTGTTCCCGAAAGCTCCTGAAAAGGTTTTTCCCAAAGAATTGCTGCCAATTTCAACTCTCCACTTCGCGTAAAAGCGCCTCTGGGTAAAGACTTCTCTGTGTAAAAGCTTCTGTGTGTAAAAGCTTATGCCTGTAAAAGCTTCTCTGTGTAAAGACTTCTCTGTGTGAAAACTTTTGTGTGTAGAAGGTTCTGCGTGTGAAAGCTTCTCTGTGTAGAGTCTGTGTAAAAACTTCTGTGTGTAAACGCGCTTGTGTGTAAAAGCTTCTCTGTGTAAAGGCTTCTCTGTGTAAAAACTTCTGTGTGTGAAAGCTTCCGTGTGTAAAAGCTCTCTCTGCAAAGACTTCTTTGTGTAAAAGTTTCTGTCTGTAAACGCGCCTGTGTGTTAAAGCTCTCCGTTACTTCTTTGCGTAACATTGTCTGTGTGTAACAGCTTCTGTGAGAAAACGCCCTTGTATGTAAAAGCTCCTCTGTGTAAAGGCTTCTCTGTGTAAAAGCTTCTGTGTGAAAAAGCTTCTGCGTGTAAAAGCTTCTCTGTGTAAAGACTTCTCTGTGTAAAAACTGCTGCGTGTGAAAGCTTCCGTGTGTAAAAGCTCTCTCTGTAAAAACTTCTTTGTGTAAGAGTTTCTGTCTGTAAACGTGCCTGTGTGTTAAAGCCCTCTGTGTAAAGACTTCTTTGCATAACAGCGTCTGTGTGTAACAGCTTCTGTGAGAAAACGCCCTTGTGTGTAAAAGCTCCTCTGTGTAAAGGCTTCTCTGTGTAAAAGCTTCTGTGTGCAAACGCGTTTGTGTGTAAAAGCTCTCTGTGTAAAGACTTCTCTGTGTAACAGCTGCTGTGTGTAAAAGCTCCTCTGTGTAAACGCGTTTGTGTGCAAAATCTCCTTAGTGTAAAGACTTCTCTGTGTAAAAGCTTCTGTGCGTAAAAGCTCCTCTGCGTAAAGATTTCTCTCTGTGTAAAAGCTTCTGCGTGTAAAAGCCCGTCGGATCCCGTCGGTATAAAGACTTCTCTCTGTAAAAGCCTCTGTGTGTAAAAGCTTCTGTGTCTAAGAGCCGCTCTGTGTAAAAACCTCTCTGTGTAAAAGCCCCTGTGTGTAAAAGTTTCTGTGCGTAAAAGCTTCTGTGTGTAAACGCGTCTGTGTAAATGCGCTTCACCAGCAGCATCCATCATCATCGAAGGAAGTTTAGAAGTCAAACTTCCGACAATATGGACAGATGAAAAGCAGAGCAGGGCAGAGGCAGAGAGAAGAGGAAGATTAGAAGAGAGAAGATCAGAAGAGAAAGAGTAAGAAAGAAAGAAGATGCAGATGCGCGAAAAGGTAGGAAAGTCGCGAAACACTGTGTTTTTCCAATGATTTGTGGCTGCGGAGGGTCGAAAAGTAGGCTCGCTAAAGCGGCGGGTGCGGAGCCAGCTGGCCAGATGAGCGATGAAAAATTGCACGCCGTTGTGGCGCGAAGCACATTTTGAAGTCAAAATGTGCAAAGCACACCAGGTTCGGACCACTTTTGGAAGTTGAGATGTCGAAAAAGTGCACGCCGTTGTGGCGCGAAGCACATTTCCAAGTCAAAATGTACAAAGCACACCAGGTCCGGACCACTTTTGGAAGTTGAGATGTCGAAAAAGTGCACGCCGTTGTGGCGCGGAGCACGCTTCCAAGTCAAAAGTGTTAAAAACTGACGGTCTCGGACCACTTTTGGAGGTTCAGATGTCGAAAAAGTGTCAAAAAAGTGCACGCCGTTGTGGCGCGAAGCACATTTCGAAGTCAAAAGTGTAAAAAACTGAGGGTTTTGAGCCTTTTTTGACGTGAATATGTCGAAAAAGTAGACACTGATTAACTTAACTAACTTGACTAACTTAACTAACTTCACTAACTTAACTACCCTAACTTCGACGACAACAGCAACAGCAACAACTTCGACGACAACAGCAACAGCAACAACAACAACACCAACCACAACAACTACAACTACAACAACAATAGATCGATAGATGGAGAGATAGATAGATAGATAGATAAGATAAGATAAGATATGATAAGATTAGATAGATAGATAGATAGATAGATAGATAGACCGATGAAAGAGAGAGAGAGATAGATAGATAGATAGATAGATAGACAGCTAGACAGATAGACAGATGAAAGAGAGAGAGAGATAGATAGATAGATAGAAAGATAGAAAGATAGATAGATAGATAGGTAGATAGGTCGATAGGTAGATAGGTAGATAGGTAATGAGATGAAAGAGAGAAAGAGAGAGATAGATAGCTAGACCAACAGATAGATAGATACATAGAAAATAGATGGGTAGGTAGGTAGATAGCCAGAGAAAGAGAGAGAAAGAGTGAGAGAGATCAAGCACCTTTCAGTCCATCAGTGGCTTCGCTCTGCCATCCCTGATTCACAACAACCAATTTCTCCTATAGGTTTCCTATTTTTGAAACTTCCGCCACCGCCTTGTGCGGTACTACTGGTATTTCATTTTCTTGTTCGTCTCCTCCCTCCAGCTTTCTTTCGGGCCACACGGTCGTC